CAAAGGGATGAATAATTCGAGAAACTGCCTGCATTAATCCCTCGCATTCCCGAATCTTTGAGCTCCTAATTAAGCGGCCGCTCTTCGAGGAAACCTCTTTGATTTTTACTCGTAAATCAGTCCGGAGCGGCTCCACGAATTTCGGCTAAAGCGAGCCGACGCAAAAAACCCTCCAGACGCCGCGGGCCGCGAGAAGACCGGATAAACAAACCCATATGTTGGTAAAAGCCGTCATCGCCACAGTTGACGCTTTATAAATGTTTTAACTGGATGCAAGCAAGACTGGGTGACCTGTTGAAATGGTTCGACGAGGTTTATTGGCGTGTGGGAGTGCGAAGTTTGAGTTACGAACGTCACGTGTGGGGCTTATGGGACTCGGAGGACGGGTGGGAGGGGCGACATGCTGCAGGAATTAACGGGCTGGGTTTATTGAGCGCTGCCTGTCATGTTGTCAATAAGCCAGCAATCGCTGAGCTCACATCTTTGCCTGTGCAAATCGGGCAAATCTGCTGCTACTGCGAGCTGCTTGTGCCACTGAGTGATTTATTGTTGGTGAGGTTGGCAACAAGTAGATCTCGTTACGCTGCCGCGATAAGGAGCAGCCGGAATTGCGACCGTACAACTACAAGTCTCAAAACTGCTCCGGTTGGGTTTGGGTACACCTGTTTCATGTGTCACTGTCACGTAGAGTAATTGTTTAAATGTTAATTCAAAGTTGGCGCTCGCTCCATCCTGTTGGAAATATACCGGCTGAAACAAAATTTCTGTCGTTAGCCGAACGCCGGTTTTTACGGATGAAGAGAGGTCTCAAAAAATGAGTACCAAGAGTATTTTGTTTAATTTACTAATACAGCTTAAGTGTACCATAATAGCCTTAGCCATTTGAGGCATATATACTCGGTCTGCACACTGAAACCCATCAATCTTTTTTTAATTTTCCGAATCGTGCAACTCACGTCCGTAATAAACCAAGATTTGTATCCACTCGGTCCGTTTTTATAACCGTTTCATTCCATCTCGCGAAATTTCTGTAGGTGTAAACCCAGAACAAACACCGTTCACTTTCACGGCGCCTACAATAAATCTTGATGAAATTAAACTCCAGCATGTTTTGCATTACAATGACCAACTTTATGAATAAATTGTAGATACGCTCTCCATAATTTACAAACCAAATGGAAATAAAGTAACACAACTTATTGCCTCCTATAAATTACCTCCAGATCGAACTTTTCCTGCATTGTGAATAATCGAACACATCCTCGAATCCGACGTTGAAAATGTGAGCTGTCATCGGATTAAAAGCCCCGGCCTGAGTTATTTCAGAGGTGCTTTATTTATTAAACTCGCACACACGAAACGCGGATTCAAACCTGCCAATGCAACTAAGAACTCTCGCTGTCTTAATTAATACAGAAACAACGAGCTCCGACTTTGTGTAAAAATTGCCCCTTGAGTTGAAAAACGACTAATATTAAGCCAACAAACGCGAGTTTAGTAAAAGCAGCAATCTCTTATTGCTTGTTATAAATTACCTCGCGCCGAACTTTTCCACATTGTGAATAATCGAAAGCATCCTGCAGGCCGACGTCGAAAATGTGGACTGTCGCCGGATTAAAAGCCTCGACTTCATCTTCATTTGAATAAATAACTCCCAACTCGTCCCGTGGAATCTAAATTCTTCGAAAATTACCAAGCATGGGTTATCCGTCGTCCGACATGCGATCTAAATAAACAATTCCTCTTTAATGCCGTCAATCTGAATTCCCCGAGTGTTCGATCAGTGGACGAAGTCGTGCCTCATTACTTATTCACTCCTTATTCTTCCTCTTCACGTTAAGTCCTGTCGCGAACAATAAACAATAATTTACAGTGCGATGTCAATAATTGTTGTCCTGATGTGCTCATCCTCGTTACCGTTGCGGCCGGCACTAAATCACCGGACTGAGCCGTGTGAAACGCCACAAAAATTATAATGACTCGAACGGATGATTAATGCCCTGCACGCTTAATTGGAAAGAATAATTGTTGGTGCTGATGCCTGCTTAAGCGCTGATAAGACCATCTTTGACATTGTGTAATTAGAATAATTATTCGAATAACAATGAACCTCTGAAAACTTCCTTTTATGTGCGACGTGTCATTAGAGCCGAGATGATGCAGCGCTAATTGGATGAAAAAATCGTCTGGAGGTGGAATGCAACCAGCAATACACCCAGCAGGAAAGCCGGCGTGGACGTGCGAACCTCCTGCGGGTGTCGGCGTGGAGTTAAAGTGGGTGAAAAGGTGGTGATTTACTTCGAAGTCGGGACCCACGCGGTCACACAAAAATGGTATAATTGTTGATGGTGGCTGTTACAAATTATTAGCATAAAGAAACGAGCTGTTATGCAGTTTTTTTATCTGAACTACCAAATCGGGTAAGCCTGGTAAATTGCTCCATGAAAGCAGTATTTCTAGTTTATGCAAAAATGAATAATAATTTATTAGTGCATAAAAAAACGACAGCGGTTTTGCATAAGTCAAGATACAAATCATTATTATATTAATTAAATACATTTAAACTGAAAAGTACAAAACTTCATCATTTTGATATCCAATTTTTCAAGTTTTTAATTTTTTTTTCTATTTTACAAGTATCTGATTTTTCAGTTTTTTTGGTTTTTCATTTTTCAGTGGTTCAACTTTCCATGCGCAATTCTCATTGCAGCGCCCCCTACAAATCAACACAGAATCGAGCCCTGGGAAGATATTCCCCTAGATTTTGACAAATTTCCCATCCGTGCGTTCAGGTGAAAGTGTGGCTCTCGACCCTCGTCCCGCGAGAATCGCAGTGAAAAATACCAGCCCTGCCCCCGCTCGACCCAGCCTGCATACAAAAAAGGCTAATTTCGCCAGCTACCCCGCGAATTTGGCGCCTTAACCCGACTGGTTTGAAACGGCCTGGCTGATGGGCGCTCCACACGCGAAATCGTAAATTGGTCGACTACACGATGACATTCCTGTTCGGTTTTATTTATGGCGTAATTATATTTCGTTATCTCGAAATCAGTAAGCTTTTATTTGTTGTGTTGTATAATAGCGGGAATTTTTATGCTCCCGTGCCATGCGAAACGTGTGAAAACGGCCACGTTTTTAAAACAAACAAAAATTCGAGCGATTGCCGATCGAAATTTCGCCACGAAACGCGAGGGAGTGAAATATGGCCAGCTCACGACCGAAATTCCCCCCAGTTTAGATTTTCCTCCAAATAGCTATCGATTGTCTTCGGGAGATACTTTTTACCCTGAATAATTTCCGGGGAGACTAGGGCTAATTCCCGGAAAAGTCCGGACGCATTTATTGCTGCCGCCATCAATCTGGGGGCCGTAATCCGGGTCCGGGGTTGTTTCCGTACGCGAAATTCCTCCGGCAATAACTCGGTTCGGGGTTTTTAGCCGGTGGTTATTGAAAATATTTCCGGTAATAAGTGCCGTCTTGGCGAGTTGTAGACGCTTATGAATCGGACGATGTAGGCTCGGGCTCCATCACCTTGCTTGCTGCAATAACACGGTTGCTAAGGATACCAACTACCCCTACACAATCACCCTCAAGATTTATACGTGTTCTCGGCGGGATCCGGGGCGAGCGGAGAGAAGGTGCACCGGCCTGCATTTAGTCAACCCTGACGTAGATAAGCAGTAAGTTTCCATCAGATAAGGTGCTGGGAAGGGCAAGAAACACGGCCCGACTGGATTTCATTGTTCCGAGGGACGATGAAAAAACGAGCAAAGCGTTTGGTTATGGAGTGGAAGAAAATACAAAGAAACAAGAGGTACACGTGGAGTACATGAAGCAAACTCGAGAGGTCTCTGGACGAACAAAGACCTAAAACAAGAAACTTGTAAGGACTTTAATTGCCTTTGGGTTGGTAGATCTACAAAGAAAATTGCACCCGTGAAGGCTGTTTTGGCGGCACTGGATATTCAAGTTGGACGAGTGAAAATTTTGTGCCTTCCTAGTTTTTCCCTTCAAGATCAAGTACGTCCTCTTGGCTTTTCTCAAAATTCTTCTCGAAAATTGTTTCCAGTTAGAACAGTCTAGGCGTCTTCTGTAAAATTCTTAAACGTACTTTTTTTTAATAGCGAATCTATTCCGTTGGTTCTAGAAATTTCCTATTGTCAATCCTTATATTTTATAACCTTGAAGAAACAGTTAATTAGCTCCTTTAGCTTCAAGCTTTCAGTAGGACTGAATTTTTTCTTCTTCAATATTTTCGAACATCTATTATCATCCTCCCTTTTCTTTTACTTCTCGTTGTAAAGCGTCACTGGATATCATTTCATAAAAATTGGACATTAGTTATTTGAAAAATCACTCTAGAAACCGAAACGTAATTGCGGAAGCTTCCCTTTAGAAAATATAGCCTCTAGCCTCTTTCTGTTTGTATTGAAATACTCCTAACATAGTTTATAATATTATCATTACTACCAAACACAATTAACCTCGTTTTACAAGCCCATTACCATTAGTTTGGTCTCGGGCGGTCCGCTGATACATCAATTACACCCAGTGATTAATGCGATACCGTAATTCATATTTGAGCAGCTCGTTAGCCGAGTCGTCGGCTTATTGTTGACAAATTTACTCGAAGCAACTATTATGTATAATTTATTTGAGTGGAAGGAGCCGTCAAAGTGGAGGGTTTTATCTCTTTATGTTCGCATGATACGCCACAGTTTGGTGGATTTTACCGCCGTCGTAAACTCCAATGATAAAAAATCAATTATGCAATTTTAAACAGCGGAGGGTAGATAACCAAATTAATAGAGCACAAACAAGGGTGCATTTAATTATTAAGACTGTGTTGGATTATTAGGAAGACCGCTCAATCATGGGTTGACGGACAAGTCGCTTAGTCGCGGATGGGTTTCAAAAGCACGTTCTGTGCAGAATCACGCTCGAGTGATAATCATATCAGTTTTTATCGCAGATAAGGAGAACAAAGTGTTACGATAGACTGTGGTCTAAAGATCTTTATTCACCGACGCAATTATCATATCTCAACATCGGAATTTTCCGCGATCCAGTCTAGGTAATTCACGACCCTTGTGTAGACCGAAGGGCTGCACACTTCACATAGATCGGTACCGAAAGACGTCAAGGCGATCACCACTCCATCCAAACTCAAAGGACCTCCAGAGTCTCCATTGCACGTTCCTTTGTTTCTATATCCAGAAGTACAAACGTTGGTTTCGACGACATAGTCGCCGTCTTCGTCGTTGTAGTACTCTCCACATTCCGTCAGGTTTGACACTGGTACGTCCACTTGCAGAAGCACGTCTGACATGTCCCTGGTCGATGGAAAAGGTACGTCTTTGTACAACCCCCATCCAGTGGCTGAAACTACTTCGTCCAAGTACGTACGATCCAAATCGCTACTTGGAGGGAGCTTCGCTGGCTGAATAACATCGTTAATTGGTGCTGGTTCAGACAACTGGATCAACGTGATATCGTTACGAAGGGTGTCATCGTCGTACCCTTCGTGGATGATAACATTGGAGCCCCGAATTGTGACTTGAGTGTCTTCGTTGGAGTTGGAGAGGTTGTGCGCTCCTAGGATAACATCGACTGTGAATATCCTACGAAGACAAATTGATTATTCTGAATTAGAAAACTGTTGGAGTATTATACACTATGCCGCAATGTCCTGCTGTTAGTACGTAATTGGGGGATATTAAAGCACCTCCACAGTACGAATTGCCATTTATGCGTAGAGCAACCTGATAAGGCACTGAATGCGGTACCACTTCCTGTCCACCTATGATTCTAGATCTGGAAGGGGCGATGTGGGTTTGGATGTGTTTCAAGTCCGACGACCGGTGCTAAAATAAGGCGGTCAAAGTTAACCAAGCCGTTAAAACATTTTGAAACTTACTTCGGTCGTTGCGAAGGGTACGATGACCACGATGGATAGAAAAAGTACTTGGTTCCACATCGTAACACAGACTATTTGGATTTTGTTTATCGAATACTTATATAGTTAATTATTTTTTATCAGGCAATCTTGCAGCTGATTTTGAAGAGACTCAAAACAGGAAAAGAATGCTTGACCTGATATCTGATACGTCTGTAAAAGTGGCAACTTGAATATTATGTTTTCGTTGATTGTATGGAAATTGTGGTGAACTTGATTGTCAAGTGTCCACTTAAAAATATCTACCTGTATTTCTAAATTCTTATTATTACCTATTGCTACTCGAATTATCCATCGTTCATAAACACGAAATTTTTCTGCTTGTCCATTTGATCTCTCTGAGTATCTATTTGTTTATGTTTCTGTCCGTCTATCTCTTTGTCCATTTGTCCATCTTCGTGTCTGGATATTTATCTGTATCTCTGGTTTTCCGTCTGTTTATTTTCCTGTCTGTTTCCATTTGTCTATTTTCCTGTTTCTCTCTTCGTCTCTTCGCACTGCTTCTTTTTCTTTAAAATTTGAAATAATCTTGATTTTCCTTAGTTTTTTTCAAAGAATTTACTTGAATGAATAATATTAGGGACCCTTGGTATGTGTCTGTGCTTTTTTTAGAAGGAATTTGAAAGAATCTTGGAAGTTTGTAATGATATTTTACGAATTTTAAAATAACTTCGGCTTTTCTTGTGTTTCTTTAAGAAAGAATTTGAAAGAATCTTGGGTTCCCTTCGTGTTTTTTAAAAAGGAGTTTAAAAGAATCATACAGGCCGGTAATGGTATCTTGCGAATTTGAAAAAATCTTGGGCTCCCCTTGTGTTTTTTTAAGAAAGAATTTAAAAGAATCTTGTGCCTTTTTACGAAGGAATTTGAAGGAATCTTGAGGTTTCCTAGTTTTTTCAAAGAATTTATTTGAAAGAATCTTAGGGGTTCCTTGTGTCTTTTTTTTAAGAAGGAATTTGAAGGAATCTTGGGCCTTCTAATATTACTTTCGTAAAGAATTTGCAAGAATTTTGGAAGCCAGTAACGGTATTCTAAAAATATGAAAAAAATTCATGTTTCCATTTTGTTTTTTAAGAAAGAATTTGAAAGAATCTTTAGGTTCCCTAGTGTTCTCAAAGAATTTACTTGAAAGAATCTTGGGGCTCCTTGTGCCTTTTCTTTTAGAAGTAATTTAAAAGGATCTTGGGACCTCTGGTGTTTCTTTTAGAAAGAATTTAAAAAAAATTTTGAGGCCCTTAGTGTTTCTTTTATAAGGAATTTGAAAGAATCTTAGAAGCTGGAAAATTTTAAAAACGTGAAATAATCTTGGGTTTCGCTGTGTTTTTTAAGAAAGAATTTGCAAGAATCTTGGGTTTCCTTCGTGTTTGTTTAGAAAGGATTCGAAAGAATCATACAGGCCGGTAACGGTATTTTGTGAATTTGAAAAAATCTTGGGTTCCCTTTCTGTTTTTTTTTAAGAAAGAATTTAAAATAATTTTGGGTTTCTCTTGTGTCTTTCTAAGAAGGAAGTCGAAGGAATCTTGAGATTTCCTAGTTTTTCAAAGAATTTACTTCAAAGAATCCTAGAAGTTCCTTGTGTCTTTTTTTCAGAAGGAATTTGAAGGAATCTTGAGAGCTCCTAATATTTCTTTCGTTGTGTTTTTTAACAAAGAATTTGAAAAATCTTGGGTTCCCCGTGTGTTGCTTTAAGAAAGAGTTTAAAAGAAACTTTCAGGTTCGCTAGTGTTTTCAAAGAATGTATTTGAAAGAATCTTGGGACTTCTTGTGTCTTTTCTTTTAGAAGTAATTTGAAAGGATCTTGGCACCTCTGAGGTTTCTTTCAGAAAGAATGTGAAAGAAACTTGGGGTCCCTTAGTGTTTCTTTTATAAAAAAATTGATAGAATCTTAGAAGTCGGAAAATTTCAAATTATCTTCCAGTCCGGTAATGGTATTTTGAGAATTTGAAAAAATCGTGGGTTCCCCTTTGTTTCTTCAAGAAAAAAATTTGAAATTCCCTAGCTTTTTCAAAGAATTTACTTGAAAGAATTTCGGGGGCTCATGTTTTTTTTTTTATTTTAGAAGGAATTTGAAATAATTCTGGGACCTGCGATGTTCTTTTTGGGAGAAATTTAAAAAAATTTTGGAAACCGGTCACGATATTTTGTTTGTCTGTTATGTTTTTTATCTCATGTTCATTTGTCTGTCTTCCTATTTCTCTCTGTGTCTGTATAAGTTAGTCTGTCTCAGTCTTTATAGTGTCTCTCTCAAGATAACTGATAATACCGTCATCAAAAAGTGGACGACATATTCCAAATGGAATTAAGCATCCATCAAAATTGCTCTTTTCCATTTTTTTAATCGCATGGCTCAACAAACAAAAAAGATATTTCGAGCCTAAGTTCACCACTTTCACTTTTCGATATTGGTATTTAAACCCCGCCACACCTCCACTGTAATTCAAGCACATGAGAACGTTTTCATTCGGTTAGTTTTTGACATTAATAGCTGAGCGAAGGTGAGAGAATAAAGGGTAAATAATACGGCGAAATAATTTGCATATTTATATTCATCGCCGCTTTCGGTGTGAAGGTTTCTTGATTTATCATTTTCGACGCTTTCGCCTGACTTTGTTTATTTCATCTATCACCCAAGTCGACAGTTTAATGATAAAATTGGTAAAAATAAATTTTACGTAAATTAGTTATAGGCGCGCCACACATAGAATTTAAATTTAGTGCAACATTATAGCGGTTGTTTTTAAAAGGAAAAACTAAAATTAATAAATAATTTGCATACTGCTTATGCAAAAAATAAACACCTGATAAGTAATTCATTACACTCGTTAAACAAGAGTTAACCGCTTTAAAATCGAACCGGTTCCCTGCACACGTACAAACACATCCTGTACTCTCGTTATCTTAGTGATTAAGCTCTTGACTTTGAAATGAAACTCTATAATTCAATTAACACACAATAAAGTGGATTTTCTAACTCAAGGGCGTTTTTTGAATTCGTTTCTTATTTGAACTGTAATAAAAAAATGTCGATTTGTTGAAATACAGCTACACATTACGAATTTGAAGTGCATTTTAACATTATCAGTTAAAAAAGGATAAGTTTAAGTAGACTTTGTCTACTCATCCACTACAAGAAACTGATAACAGATTTTAAAATGTGATCAAATGAATCTCACTCAAGCGAACACTGCTTTGCACATGACGTCATCAGTTTACTGGAGAAGGATTAACCGATCATTTTCAATTAGCGTTTTCGAATATTGAATACCTACTTAAAATTTGAAAGTAAAAAATCTCCAGTGACAAGAAAATTAATTACCGGTCTTTCCAATTATTTTTGTTTCGTTCTGTTGACTGTCGGATCTGTCTTCAGTAAATCACGTATGAAACTCAAGCTATTAAACAAAGTTGGTGCATGCACCCTAAAAAACGCGCGTAAGAAAATGAATATCTTGTGACGCCTCTGTGCACACATTCCGACCCGCTCTCGAGGTGTGTCACGTAGATCAGATGGTCCATTACCTGGACAATGAGTATCAGTTTAGATAGTGGATCAGTCTTACGCAAGGCCGCTTTTAACCGCTTCCCCTTCGAAGATTAATTTAGGAAAGAACGTTGCCGTCACCAGCTTTGACATTGCCCTAATTAAAAATGTATTTGTGATTATGGCGTCCGATGAACGGATTAAACTTTGATTAATAAATTACGGTCGGTGAGAGACTAATGGGGTTTTAATAGTGGCGCGGCAGGTCACCGAAAGGACATTAAAGTGCACTTTGCGCCAGCGGTGGATAATTAGAGAGTAAAAAGGGCGTGATTGTCGCAGATTCTACTCAAACAACAATTAAGAAAACACACAAGAAAATGTTAGAAAACACGCCGCTGTTCACATTCAAACCCGTTGCTCCTCCAGCGATAACTCTGCTCCAGCAAGTTTACAAGCTCGTTAAAGGCGCAAGAACTATTTTATGGCTGCGTATGACTTATGGAATTTGTTCCAAGCTCGCAAACAAAGCTGTTCCAGTAATTATTTCCCAGTTCATATCTGGAACGCTAATCGCAAACGAGCGCCTCCAGACATCACGGCCATGGCGGTTCTCCGTCAAGTACTTTACTTAACATGTCTGTAATTGGCCAGAGATGCCATCACCGATAGACATCGAGTCGCGCGATCTACCACCACACACGCAGAACTCGCCTAAAACACGAGAAACTAATCGCTCTAATCTCGAAATCTGGAGAGGCTGGTGTCGGGAAATTTTTAGAGCAGCTGCGTGCAGGGCCGGAACGACTACGACGGGCTAAAATAGCGTCCTCCATGTTTTAATCACGAGTTTCAAAAATTAAACACATCCCATTATTATCGAGTTTCATTCAACGAGGGTTTGGGTACGTTGCCCCGGGCTCTATTGTCCACTTGCGAAAAGTTGCAAGTGGCGTGTTAAAATTTCTTTCAAAGGACCGAAAAAAATCTTCTCAGGTAATTGTTATCGATCTTCCACAAAGGCTTTTATGGCCGGTGTGAAAGGTGTTTGGTCGGCTGGTACAAAGTATACTCACCCTGTGTCGGATATTAGAGGCTTTTTCTTGCGAAGACGGTCAGAGGCGGCGGGTGCCATAAAAAAAGGGCGCATGTTGAAACTGAGTTCTGTCATAATGCATTTCTTTGAATTCTAGGTTAAACAAAAAACTAGATGGTTTAGTTTGTAGATAAAAATAATCTTCCTGTGATTATTTAATTAAAGCTCTTCAGGATTTGACAAGCCAAAACTTGCTAATTTCCTCTTCAAATTTTTAGAAGTGTCAGTTCGCTTAAATGATGTGCAGATAACATGTTAAATAAATTTAAATTGTCATGTGTCAAAAGAACCACAAAATATAGCTGACAAAAAAAGATATTTAAATTTTTCGAATCCATAAATTAATAAAAATTGCAACTTATGTCATGGCTATAATATACAGTAAATGGGACAATTTTTTTTTTAAACCTCTAAGATGCCAACAATTTGGTGCAAAAAAGTAGCCAATAGATAGGTACCCAGAAACTTTTATATATTCTAGGAATT